CCCTAAACTCTAAACCCCTAAACCATAAACCCTAAAACCCCCTGAGGCTTCAATTCCGGGAGCAGCCCCGGCACGCTGCTCCGCCTGCATGGCAAACTCCGTGCGCCAGAAGTCCTCGCTGTGGCCTCGGGTTAGGGTTTAGGGTTTAGGGTTTAAGGTTTCGGGTTTAGGGTTTAGGGTTTTAGGGTTTAGGGTTTCGGGTTTAGGGTTTAGGGCTCTGTTGGGCTAGGGCCAGGGCTTTTCTGAAAGGTTCCAGGTTCAGGGTTTTACGGTTTTCGGGTTTTACGGTTTTAGGGTTTAGGGTTTTAGGGTTTATAGGGTTTAGGGTTTTAGGGTTTAGGGTTTTAGGGTTTAGAGTTTAGGGTTTAGGGTCCTATAAAGGGTTCCTAAACGGGATCCATACCGTGGGGCTCAAAGTCGCCCAAAGTAGGTGCAATTGGGGGAACCTACCCATAGGCTCCATTGCACCTTGTAGGATCCTAAGTAAAAACCACATAAAGGAACTACACATTGTAGCTCCTTTCCGGGATCACCTTATAGGATCCTCAATATAAACGACATACAGGAACTAACTATAATGGAGCCTTGAGGTAATGCCTGAAGTAGGTGTAGGTACTATCCTCGCCCAACAATGCGAGTCAACAAAACCCGAGACCACCACGCAAGGGAGCGACGAAGAGGGTTTCCCTTTACGCTACAACTCACAATGAACCGTTTCGGGCTTCGGGCTTAACCCCACCTATAGCCGAAAAAACCTACCTTTTTAGGGTTCCCTATTATGGCTTCTATATATAAGTCCTTAAAACGGTAGGTTTTTTGGGCCACAGGTAAGCTCTGAGGACTCATATTCTGAGGCTTTTGGGCCCAAAGAATATACAATATAGGTCTTTCGAGCAATGTTGATCCGTAGGGTAAGGATTTGTGTTGCATGATGGGACCTTTAAATAATCTAAACCGATATCTACGTGAGCTAATTCGTAACTCCTTGACTCATCTACACCAATCCTTGGTCTAGGACATTAATCAAGTGGGTAGTTACCGTTATAGGAGCCTTATACAATGTCTATATACCTGGTAGAAGCCTTATAGAAGCCCACCCTAAACCCTAAACTCCCCACCTGTAGTTTCCTTTAACTTCGTCGAAGTCCTAAGCCCCCAAACGCAGGAACCCGGGGCTTGCCCCGCAGCGGTTTAGGGTTTAGGGTTTAGGGTTTAGGGTTTAGCCCTAAAGCCAAACACCCGAATGCTCCCATCCCTGCATAGCCCCGAACCGCACACACCCTGGACCAAACCCCAAACGCGAAACCCTAAACGAAAACCGCAAAACCCCAAAGCCTAAACTTAACAGCGGAAAGAAGACCCTAAACCCTAAACCCTAAACTCCTAAACCCACTAACGGGGCTCCGGCGGAGAGGGGACTGGATGTAGTGCCGGCTGTCGAAAGATGAGCTGCAAAAGTGGGCAGCGTCCTCAGGCGAGAAGTGGGGTCTCGGGGTCGAGAGCTCCAAGCCCTAAACCCGGACTACACTAAGGGGGGTGGTCTTCCGGGTTTGGGGGTGGGTTTAGGGTTTAGGGGTTTAGGGGTTTAGGGTTTAGGGTTTAGGGTTTAGGGGTTTAGGGTTTAGTGTTTAGGGTTTAGGGTTTAGGTTTAGGGACCCTAATTACACTAAGGGGGGGGGAGGGCGGGGGTGGTCTTCCGGGTTTGGGGGATGTGACTTTTAGAATTTAGTCTACAGACTTCAGATAGGCTTGAATCAAGCACTACATCTTTCAATCTAATCCACCAGCTAAACCCTACAAACCCTAAACCCTCTCGTCGTCGTGCTAACGCAGGCTAATTCGTAATTAAATCTTGTGGCTCAGGATCGAGCGTCGCTCTCGCTCGCATTGTCTGCTGACTGCTGTGACTGCTCGCATAAACCCTAAACCCTAAAACCTAAACCGCAAAGCCCACATCTTTCTATCTAACCTCGCAGCTAAACCCTATATAAACCCTATCTAGCAGGGTCCCTTAGCAAGGGATCGCTAACGAGATGCAGTCTTCAGGGCCTGGGAGTTGGATTTGTTGGGGAGGTTTTGAGTCTTGGGGCGGCACGCATCGGGCGACTTTGGGGTCGGGTCCTTGGGATGGCGCAGTTCATCTTGGCACGAGCGAAGGCTGCAGTCCAGTGTTTCTTGACAATGGTCGACGCTGTAAGTAGCGACAAGTCGGTATAGCCGTGGTTTCAGGGTTTAGGGTTTAGGGCACCAATTCAAACAAGGGTATGACCCCCCAAAGTGGTACATTCACCTTGGTTTCAGGCACCTTAATTACTTTTCAGTAAACCTTGAAAACAACGGCACTATGGACCAAGCCTCCTCGTAGCCGTTGAAAATCTGCTCACAACGTGCTCTCTGAGCTCCTACAAAGATTATTGTGCAGTTAGCTGGGGGGGGGGGGGTAAGCAGGGTTCCTTTCAGCATTCCTTGAAGGGTGCTGTAACAGCTTGAGAGGGTTTAATTAGGGCTATAGGATTTAGGATTTAGGCGGCTTAGTTATGTGGGTTGGAGTTTCAGCTTCGGGTTTACGTCCAGGAGCCATAAGTTATATATAACGGCAATCTCCCTCAGCCCTAAACCCAATTAACCCTAAACCCTAAACCCCTAAACCCTAAACCCTAAACCCTAAACCCTACCAGCCCTGAACCCTGGATCCGGATTGCTTTTGGGCAGAAGGAAGGAAGGAAGGCTCGGGATGACCGGGGTTCAGGCTTTAGGGTTTAAGGTTTAGGGTTTCAGGGTTTACAGTTTAGGGTTTAGGGTTTAGGGTTTACAGTTTAGGGTTTAGGATTTGGGGTTTAGGGTTTAAGGTTTAGGGTTTATAGGGTTTACAGTTTAGGGTTTAGGATTTGGGGTTCAGGGTTTAAGGTTTCAGGGTTTAGGGTTCAGGGTCTGAAAGCCGAAACACTGCGCCGCTTGGGCTTCACAGGTGTGGGGTAGTTTGAGGGTATACTGCTTTAGAGAGGACTTGGGGGGGATGAATTTTCGGATTCGAAGTTTCATGCAGATTTTAGCTTTGAACTTCCTACAGGATTGTCGTTGGGGTCTAAGCGGAACGGTTATAGGCGCAAAGGGCTGCTTGTTCGGGGCTGTGGGGTGTGAAAGGTTGCGAACCTGGGTATGAGGGTTTGTTAAGACGCGACTATACTTGGAGGTTCATGGGTAGTTAGAAGTATGGTTATAAGTCCCCTAATATGGGTTATAATTATAGCTACCCTGCTTATAACTCCA